TTTTTAAGTAATAAAAATCAATTCATCTTTCTCATCCAAAGAGGAAGTTTCCCTAGAGTCAGGGCTGGTGCACCGATTGAATTAGGACTATATGACTTATTGTTGTAGCTTGCTTGTTATCTACTCAAATGAATAGCGAGGGTAATGATTTCCACTTTATTGTTAACTATTGTGTCTTTAAAAACATTGCTTTTAAAATGAAAGTCGTTATTGATTTGCATGTAGAAATGACGTTTGCAAAGAGAAATGAACTTGAAGATGTTGATAACCAAACTATACAGAATTTCAGGTTATATAATCCTTTAACTTGTGGAAGAATCAGGGAAGGGACTTTGAGTGTTGCTGATTCACACAGCAAAGTCTCCGCCATAAGAAACCCTGCAGATTTGACTTGGTACTCTGGAACTTCCTACTCTCAGAACCCTGAGCCACCTTGCTAGAAGACTAACCACATTTTGCTGAAGAGACCGCAGGAAAAGGCTTGAGACCGTATGAAATGGGAGGGGTGTAGCTGAGACTGACCTTGTAGCTGTCCCTTCTAGGACAGCAGGCACGTGAGTGAACCTGTCCTGGATCCTGCTGTCCAGGCCAACGCCCAGATGAGTCTCACCAACAGACACCAGGCAATGTCAAGGGCAGGCATGTGGTCCAACTGAGCCCTGATTCATGAAATCAATAAACTGTCATCCTAAACAACTAAATTTTAGGATGATTTGTTAAGCCTGATATATAACCAGGGCACCTTTGATAAAATTGTAGTTTAATTGATTTAGAACCTTTATTCACTTATTTATTGCCCACAAAAGATTTCTTAGCTGCATTTTGGAAAACATTGTTACCGGCAACAGATTCCCCCATCCATAAACTCCTATTCCTGTTGCCCCCATTTTCAACCTTGTTTTTTGCTTATTCTTATCATTGTAGCTACGGGTTCTTGCTTCAGACCAAGCTTCTTAGCTAATTGTGGCTTTGAGTCATGGTGTTTATATTAATCTCTTGTCTAGCAGCCCGAGTGACTCTCTGTCAAGTTCAGTTTAGATGGTCTTATTCCAAGACATCGTGCCAGGTCTATAGCGCCGATTCTGTGTTTTCTTTTTTTTAAAAATATTTTATTTATTTATCTTTATAGGGGAAGGGAAGGAGAGAGGGAGAGAAACATCAATGTGTGGTTGCCTTTCGTGCGTCCCCTGCAGGGAATTGGCCTGCAGGGACCTGGTCTGCAACCCAGGCATGTGCCCTGACTGGGAATCGAACCGCGATTGTCTGGTTCGCAGGCCCGCGCTCAATCCACTGAGCTACACCAGCCAGGGCCTGTGTTTTCTTTATGGTACCCCTTGTACTGCGTGTGGTCTCGAAAACGGGGTCTTAACCTGATTGTTCTACTTAAGGATCTAACCTGATAGCCTTTCTAATATTGCTCTGTACACTGAGGTCCTTCCTTGTTTGCATTTTCTGTAAATGCCATAACAAATTGCCACACATCTAGCAGCTTCGTGATACTGATTTATTACCTCGCAGTGCTGTGGGTGTCTGGGCTCAGCCTGGCCCAGCCGGTCTCTGCTCTGAGCATTACCAGGTTGGATTCAAAGCAGGAACAGGGCTGCATTCCTCCTGGAGGCTCGGAGGATGGATCTGATTCCAGGCACCTTCCTGTTGCTGCCTCAATCTAGCTCCTTGCAGTCGAAGCCCTGAGATCCCCATTTCCCTGCCTGCCCTTTCTCAGCTTTTAGGCACCAGCTGCATTTCTTCACTTGTGGTTCAATTTCACAGCAATCAAGTTCGAAATCCTTTGCAGGCTTCGGATTTCTCTGACTTCTGCCTTTCTCTTCTGCTCTGAAGAGTTCGGATGATTACATTGTTCCCCAGCCCTCCCTGGTTAATCTAGGGCAATCTTTCCATTTTGAGGTCTGATGATTAGTGGCATGAATTCCATCTGCAGAATACTTTTACAACAATATTAGTGTTTGATTGGATAAGGAAGGGATGGAAATTCTGGAGGAACATCTTTGGAATCTGCCTTCTACAACACACCGTCTCACAAACTGAAAGCCCGTCTTTACCTCAAGGAGCTGAGTTCTTGCCACCACCCATCTGTCCTGGTTTACCCACTCTCCTCACCTAACCCTGGACAGCTTTCTGGTTAAAATGCTCATGTTCCATGTTTAAAATATTTCCATTATTTTATTTGGTCTACTTGCAAAAATATCATTGGCTATTTTCTGAACCCTCTTAATAAAGATTATCTGCCTGGAGTACCATTTATTCGTTCATTCATTGTAAAATTTCTTATTGGGTACTTATCATACGCCAGGCACCTAGCAATATGGCAGTGAAAAAAACCCCAGAGTGTGCCCTCAAAGTATTGATATGTACACTGGCTTTAATATATTCATATATATAAATGACATCAGACATATACATATGAGCATATAAAGAAATTTCAAGTGTGGATAAGTGCCATGAGGAATGATGAAGGGGGAAATCTTCAGGGATGGCCTCTCTGAGACATAACTTTGAAGCAGAGACTTGAAGGGAGAGAAGTAGCAAGACTCTAACTGGGGAAGAATGTTCTAGGCTAAACTTTCTGGACAGATTTCATGCTTAGTAGAGTGACAACAGAGACAGCAGCTGGGGCACTGGAGTGGGGACAGGGGGAATAGGAGAGAAAGTCAGAGAGGAGGGAAACCTGTCCCCAGGGGGCTTTGAAGGTCGTGGAGAGCAACCCTTTTTATTTAAGATAAGAAGACATTAGATACATTCTTGCAAAGAAGTTAAATGATCTGACATTTTACTGATCGGTCTGGCTGCTGAAGAAAACAGGAGGCTCTGTTTGGAGGCATTTTTTGATCAGAGTGGAGAGGTTGGTGGCTTGGAGGGAGGTGGCAGTGGAAGAGCTGAGAAGTGGCTGTTCCGTCTGACACACCTACAGTGGGTCACGGCTCCAGCCACTTCTTCACTTACATAGGCTCTGTCTATTGTATCTCATCCAGTTCTTAGCCTGAGCTCTCATCCCAAACTGCCTACAATGTAACTGAGACGCAAGGGGCAAGAGAAAACGTCTTTGATGTTTTGGAAAAAAGATAGCAAAGGGGCTGGAGAGCAAAGGAACAATCTGAGTACATTCCCTACAATGTCTAGTAGGCACTACACTTCCTTGGAACATGAGTAAGTTAATAGTTCCCAACACTTTTGCAGAGAAAGAATATTTTTAACTTCAAGGTAGTTCAGCCACTGTTTTGTGGAGTCTACTTACAAGCAGTTAAGAAAGATGCTTACCTGCTCTCTGATATTTAGATGCTTTTAATAACAAATAGCAACAATAACAAAAGGTCTGCAACCACAATTCCAGTCAAACCCCAATGAAAGTTGAATAGAAAGACACAATGCTGTAGGCGTCTGGAAGTGGAAAGGAAAATCTATGTTACAGCAAATGCATCTTATGACTTCCTGTGAGAGTGAGGTCCTTGACTGCTTCCTATCTTCTCCCATCCCTGGGAACTGCCCCAGAGGATTAATCCTTTTGGGATCTGATTCTATTAGCCATGAGCTGGCCATGGAGGGAGATTGAGGAGAGCAGAGTTACACCCCCTCGTTCGTGTCTACGTTAAAACCTATATATAATCTTTCGTTCTGTGCAAAAACATGAGTTTAACTGAACAGATAAAACAGTAATCAAGGAACACCCTACAAAATCTAGGAATTAAAGATAGTTCTGACTTTTCAAACATCTATAGCTCTATTTCTAAACTTCTTTGTTCATTCTACTCCTAATCTAAAATCTACCCCCTGGACCAATTTTATGCCATTGACCTTGTCTGAACCACCTCATTATTAACTGTGAATGAGTTTGTAAGGTTAAATACCATAGTTTTTTTTAATCCTTCTGAGCAATTTACTAGTTTTCTAAATCAAATTGTCTCTCCTTAAACAACGGTCCTTTGTACACCCTGAGCTCTTGCCTCTAGTCCTGCTGCCTGCCTGATTCTCCAGAGTTTCCTTGACATTTTTATTGGAATTTTAGGACCACTTTGCTTTTACACACATCAGGGCATCTAAACACTTCCCCTCGTTTCTCCAAAGTCACATAGTCTTCTACCTACCCTTGAAATCCCTTTATCAGACTCACGGTCCATAAGGATTTGAGATGCTCAATGTTTTAAAATGCCATGAATTGAAAATAAATATGCAAAGTGCTTATGACAGTGCTTGGCACTTGGCAACAGCTAGACAACCGTGAACAGTTATTATGATGTGACAGTCATCTGTAATATTGGAATAAGGTCAAGAGGGTCAGGGAGAGGAACACATGGGAGAAAGGTGGTAAGGCATTTAGCACAGTGCCCAGCCTGCAGAGAAGTTCAACAACTCTTAGCCACGTAGGATGGATGTTTGTGCATGAAGTCTTAAAAAGTATAGGTGTTTTAAATTATTTCTTAAAAAACAAGCATCCTACTAAAAGCAAAAATAAAGTCCACAATTCTGAAATGTCATTTGATATGAGAGAGAAATTCAATGTTTGCGATGCATGCTAAACAGTGATGATTTCAGGTTTAGAAGGGATTGGTATCCTTAGGAACCATAATGACATAATTGTGTTAGCAAAAATAGACTTTTGCTCCTGAGTGTCAATTGTTTTTGAATTTCCGTGTATGCCTAACCCTTTACACTCTTTAGTTTTACATGTAGTAAAAATTTATCTGTAAAAAAAATAGATGAACCAGGTAGATTATGTTGCTTGCTCTATCTAATTTAATACCAAAATGTGGTTACTAGACAGACTGAGGGGGTGATAAGAAGATTTGAAGCAATAGTTCCATAGTCCTTTAAGACAGAGAAAGTATTACTTGTCTGTGCCACAGTGAAGGAGGGATGGTAGAAATTACAGAGAGCCTAAAGTTTCTTTAAGACCTGGCTGGGTTCTACCGCTGTTATAAGAATATATAAATTAAATGGACAATAGTTTCCAACTCTAAAACATTATATGCAGTACATACTTTGACCTAGTTTACAGTTTACATTTATTGTGCTCACTGAAACCACAAAGCCAATGTTTAATTTTACAGTTTAAAGTCACACATAGAGAAATGCTTTACAAAGTAGGATATTGTTCCTCCATGAAAAATATTACAGTACAGGCCCCAAATGACTCAGTTCAAGTGATTTACCTGAATAACAGAGCTTGCTGGAATGCAGGCTATAAGACACAGTAATGCTTTCAGTAGTTGATTGCAGTTTGAAAGTTGCCAAGGCTGAGGAGACATTTTACATGAGACCCATTTTAGTTTTCCCAAAAGTTTTGGTTCTTCAACTGGTTTTTACTGAATGATGCATTTACTGAACGATGCCATTGCTTCTGACAATCTGGGGTAATACACAGCTTATATTTTATGACATACATAATGTGCAAATCTTCAAAGTTTTTACTGTCTCAGAAGCACCATTCAAGATTTCAAAATCTTGCTTCTACCTGCTTAGGTCTACTACCTGAATTTACTCACAGACTCTAATACTGAGATCAACTGTTGGGGTCACTGCTTCCATCAAATTGAACATACTTCTGGCATCTGCTTAGTTACCTGGAGTCCATTTAGAAGACATATGCATGATTTTCTGACAAGTATGTGAGACTCAAATGTGAGCAGTGTCCATCAGCTCCTGCATTTGCAACATGCCTGAGTGTACAATGCAAAAACATCACCCAGAGATGATAGCTGTTTTCCAATCCAAAGTGTAGCCTCACTAAGTCAACACACTACTGTTCTCAATAGGCTCTCAGTGTGGGGTGAAGTGGTTCGAATATGTTGTGAATTGTTAAAGCGAAGGAAGACTGAGCTATGCTAGCTCAGTGTTTACAATGGACATAAAATGTCACAAAACTTAAACTCAGGCAAAATATACACAGGGGTTTGTGTGTGTATAAGAACCAAATGAGTCTGTTTAAAAGGAATGTTTGACAAGAGTGCCGATGTCTGGGTGATGAGACATGACGCATCTGAAAGCCTGCCGCCCCAGCCTGACACTCTTAGAGTTTTGATGTCACCTGAAACATCCTCGAGGTACATGTCATGTGTCACCGAGCCCCGCTAAACGAAATGACCATCAGATGCAATCTCCCTAACTTTGGGTATCAAGTTGTGCCCAGCCTTGAAAAAATAACAAAACCAGAAAAAAACCCAAATCCAAAAAACAAAACAAAAACCAAACTTAGTTCTTTCTTGACAATGGAAAAGTCACATAGAATAAAATAGTGACTCAGAAATACTACATTTGACTATTGATCACTGAAGATGTTAGCATCTCAGGAGAAAAGTGTAATTCTTCATTGTATGTGTCAAAGGAAAATGGGGAAAAAAAAGAATGCCACATGTTATTTATAACTCACAGTTTTTCTCACAGTGTTCGACCTGGATCACTTCAATGTGACAGTGCCTTATAGGATGATGGGCCATTATTTGCTTTTTCATTTGACCTATGGTGGCCCACATGGACCAGTTGGAGCTATGGGACAAGGACCACAGAAAGCAAACTTATTGGTAAAGTGCTAGAATATTAGAACTGTGCATTTAGCTGTGTTAGCTAGCATGTACTTTTATTCTCTCTTAAAACCAGCATCTTCTGACAATGTATTCCACTATTTTTTCCACTGAGAGTTATGGTATCTTGGCACCAGAAACACACTTTGCCAGATTAAATGCTTTTCTGGTCTGGACACATGTCTATTTCCATTTTTTTTCCTTCACTGATGCATGCGTTTTACTTCAATGTTTCCATATGTTAATTGACCAGAACACAATTATGCATTATAGATTGATGTTTTGTGATGATATCACTTTGAGGAGTCATTTCTCTAGTTCCTGTTAGCAGAAAACTATTAGGAAGATTGTTTTTTTTCCCCTCAGTGAACTAGTGAGTTAGGTTGATCTACCTGTTAGACAGTCTAAAGCTACAGGTTTTGGCAAATGAGAAAAATAATAGAGAATACATCCAAGTTCCTTTTCTGTGCATCTAAATGATAGACCGCCTTGACATTGCACTCAGTTCTATTACAGCTTTGGGTGCCCATTTCTGTACTCACAGTTATTCATTTATTTCATAGCTCTGAAATGTTGAAAAATGTATGGTATTTTTATGGTCTCAAGTTTAATTATAAATAGAGTGGTAATATTTACCAATCAAGCCAATGAGATTTCACCCTCAACCATGAACTATTAGCCAAATTTGGTCATTGTTACATTCAATCTTGGTTCACAAATGGTGAACTTTAAGTCATAGCACAAGTCCTGGGCTTCTTTGAATCTGGCTGTTGTCCTCACAGAAACCATGACAATAACATTGATAATAAGGAAGGATTCTGTGGGAAAAACATTTGAGTCAGAGGTTAATCTGGTCAGTTGTGTGTCTAAGGGTGCTTTGCCTTATTGCTGTGACCAGACAGTGAAATCGTAGTCAGGGGCAGGCTAGTGTGATCAGAGGTGGCCCTCCATGTCTCAAGTCGTGTCATCACTCCATGAGAGACATTGGTAGAAGTAAAAAGTCACCTTTCAGCAATGGAGACCCCATGTTCGTACAAACAGTTATGACTACAGACACTGAAATCACTTACACCCAATTTGTTTGCTTTCATCTATAGAATCCTGCAGATACTAGAGACCAAGTGATATTAAATTTCAAGGAGTGTTTCTAAAGCAGCCAAAGACAATATTTGGTTTTATTATAATTGATATCGCTTGCAGTTTTCACATAATCCATCAACAGCTCTTTGTCCAAGTGTATCAGTGAAATGAATAGACCTGATTCTCACTGTGCCTTAGCTTCAGGGGACTGACAGGCTCTCTATGTGCCCACATTTAAAACTTGGACCACAGTTGAGTGTTTTAAATACATGTTTTTCTTATCTGTGACTTGAAAAAATTAGAATTAATGGATACTAATAGTAATGAAAGCTTAAGTTAAACACTTGCTCAGAAAGGAAAACTACAGTATCAGAACAATGATACATGAGGAATACACTTCACACAGAAAGCTTTTTGTAAAAAAATACAAAAGCAAACAGTGCTATATATCATGTAAACTCACAAAGTGTACTTTATCCACAAACAGGAAGCATAAATTAAAAAGTAGGACAACAGCAAAACATTTTAAATATAGAATTTGCACATATTTTTGTTAAATAAGAATAAATAACTTTATCACACAAATTCACATACCAGTTGCAAAAAACAATAAATTATTTTTTTCAGTGCTGCAACTTTTTGTCTGTGATTAATCCCTTAATTCTTAGTTTAATGGAATAAAACTGTTTCCACAGAAAGGCAAAGTAAGTTGAATTTGTTGAATAAATTACAACAATGCCCCTAAATCTCTAAACAACCAAACAGGGCTTAATTTGACCTTTTCTCTTCTAGAAGAAATAAGTGCTATTTGGGGGGCTTCCACTGTATTTAATTAAACTTAACCTGGAGTGTTTAGTTTTGTGAGGTTAAATTCTTACTAACCTGAGCACTTTTAGGCAAACTCTTTTTTGAGGAAGTAACCCCTAACATCATGAACCCTAGACTTTTTATTCAAGGTGCAACTACATAAAGATAGAAGGAATAGTCCAAAGTCAAGCTGGACTGAATTAGATCATTTAATAGAGGATTTTCCCTTTGCTTACCATTCTTTATATCTATTATAAGTTTCTCTGAATTTCAGTTTCCAGTCTATATCATTTTTCTCAGGAGTTTAGACATACATTCTTTAGTCAATCTATTGATACTCATACAAAAATAAAAAACACCAAAAAAAAAACTAAAGAAAATTCCTTAAAACCATGGAATAGTGGTTTATTCATTATAAGCTCTCTAGGATTATTCCAATGAAAAGGATAAAACTTCATTATTTGGGGGAAAACAAATCATTGATAAATCATATTAAAAATCTGTGAGTCAAGCATTGAGAAGCAGAATAGGAGACAATCGTGTTTGCTCTTTAATTATCTTTTAATGTTGCCTTCAATATATCCACAAAAGATAAAATAAAACTTGGTCATAGTTGGCTTACTTGATAAAATTATTTTGAAAATTGGAAAAGATAACGGCCTCTCTAATAGTTCTCTCTGCATAGTCAAATGATCAGTTGTAATTTTAATTCTTTCCCTGGCCAATTTGCATAGCTCTGTCCCCAGCCCTGATACCTGGTTCACCTCCATCAAGAGTAGGTACCAGTCTTGTACAGACCTCATTTTCTAACTGATAATTTATTAAGAAAAAAATGACCGTCTCTCCAGCAAAGTCAGTGTATAAAAATCCGAAAGATGATTATCAGTTCTGTAAAATACTTATTTGTTTTACCGAATAATTTCTTAAGAAAATATTTAAAACAGTGAGACATCCAATCTCCTGGCCCACTGAAATGAATGTGATGGAGCAAGATGAATTACATAGTTCTTTTATATTAAAAATATCTCATAATAAAAATAAACTCTCATGAGCTTAAGGGAACTCAAACAATGGTCCCCTAACATTCTTATATGCAAATCTTTACAATAGGCACATTTGGTATGATATTATACAATTTTATAAAAACAATTAGCTTTGTGATGTTTCACAAAGGAAAAGAAATCCCAATGAACAAAACGCCTTATATTTTTTAAACTGTGGAGTGAAGGCATACAGTTTACTGTCTAAAGAGATTTTTAGGCATGTAATTGCACAAATTTTCTATGCCTAACTATTCAAACTTACAACCTACTTAGGCTATGGAAATAGAAGTAACAAACTTCTCAAAAATCATCATATTTCATCACTCAAACACTTACTGGTGCAACCAGATGCTTTCTACTTGGGAAAAATCTGAAGTGCGGTATCAGTGTGCTTGGGTTGGTTTTCAATGCAAGGAATTATTGCCTGTGCGGTGTGGAAACAGTCTTATGAATTACCTTGTTTTTTTCTGCACTAACCACATTAACAATAATCACTTTGAGAAGTGGCTAACTACCAAATGATCTCTAATACTCTCATTACACTACGTCAACAAGATGTAGAAAACCTTGTAGGTCTTACAGAACCCTTTAACAGAACAAACAAGCAAAAACAAACACATTTTAAAGGCTTGCTGGTAAGAGGAGTACCAGTATTTAGAGCATCGATTGTGATCGGAAAACTCTTTGCTGTGTGTATATTACATATTGTGAGATATCAGATGAGTCACAGGAAGGGAAAGCAACTGGGAAAATAGAAATGGAAAATGCAGTGAAGTATGTTTTTTTTCCTTTTAAATTTCAACACAAGGAAATCAATTGTTAGCCTGTGAATACCAACAACATACACACACGCAAATGCTAATTCTATGACCTAGTTACGCATTAATTTGGCTGGCTGCCTGAAAAAATGCAGGCTGTCGAATGCTACAGACCCGTGTATGTATTTAAATGACGAGATACACTGAGATCCTTTCACTTTTTAAAACGTCTCAGAAGATGCTTGCTGTCAAAATGGTTTTTGACTAAAATGTTATCTCCTGTTGTCTGAAAGTTTACTAAGTCTTATTAAAACAGCAGCAAGATCTTAATTTCCAGTAAAACATCCACAGCTCTTTCCAGAAACTGGAAGGAGTTGGAATAGCTGCAGACCCTACTTTGGTCAAACACTTTTTTTTATAGAAATATATATATATATATATACACATATATATTTTAATAGAACCAAGTGATATAAAGTGACATACCAAGGGAGAATGTATTTACAAACAGTAAAAAGAAGCTACTGTGTATTGTGGGTGAAAATGGTTACAGTGCCTTTGAAGACATTCTGTAAGAGGTAGGTGGCAAGAGGGAGAAGGTGATTCTTCCGTTGTCAAATGTTGCCTGGTTCTACATTCATCAGTGTTTTCCATTCTTGCAGGCCCAGGGGATGTTGGCCAACTCCCAAGTTCTTCTGTATTCCAGGGTCACCACTGTCACATGGAATAGTGCACTTCTTCATTTGGTCACAGGGAGCAGATTCTGCCCATAATCAGACTCCTGTTGACAATGACACCGAAGGGTGCCTGTCTGTGCTGTAGGTGGACCTCTTCTTGTTCAGCACGACTGATCCGTGATCAGTCACCCAGTCATCTCTGCATCAGAGCATAACCACAGGCTAACATTTCTTTAGCAAACATTGCTTAAAGGCGGAAGGCCTCTGAGAGAGAAGACACCCCTTGGCTAACTTGCGGTTTCCGTCCTGGCACTGCACGGTCCGGGTGTGCCAGCCTGTGTCACAGGACCTGGAGCAGGCCAGCCACGGGCCGGTCACCCACTGCAGCTGTGTGGCGTGCGACCCCACTTGATTGCTGCCGTGGCTGGTGACCGAGTTTACTTTCTGAGTGGACTTCTTGGGAACAAAGAAACTGTAACGGACATCTAGCGCTTTAGTCGGGTCTGTTGCAAGGATCTGCACTATGAGAATCTCCTTTGTGGCCGAGTAGCCCATCCCATGCAGGAAGTCATCTCTGTGGCTCCAGCCGCTGTAGTTCATGACTGTTCCGTTGATGTCGATGATCGTTTCCGAAGTGGAGATCATGTACTTTCCATTGATAAGGTACTCACCGTTTTTCTTCTTCAAGGCTAAGTAGGCAGTGAATCTGGTCTGGTCTTTGGCTTTGAACTGTCGGACTTTTATGTGGGTTGCCCCTTCTGGGATTCTTACAACATCAGTGTATCCCTTACTGGAAGTGGGAATGTCCATGGGGAAATATATATATATATATATATATATATATATATATATATATAGAGAGAGAGAGAGAGAGAGAGAGAGAGAGAGAGAGAGAGAGGAGGGGAGAAAGAAAATAAGTAAACACTTAGTAACTGAATATACCAATAATTCTCTAAAAGTCTTACTTGATTATAACACAAAGTTTTAGTGTATTTAACAGATTAGCTTAAAATTGGCTTTAAAAATTAATTTTTTTAAAGATAAAACTTCGATTAGACTAACATATTATATGCATTTTTATTATGATGTTCAAAATCAGGATAATGTTAGCAACCTGCCTTTGTTTTAAAAATTTCTACTGACTTCATTTAAAGACGTACAAAACACTACTCATCCTTATTCAATCCTATCATCTTTACAAAGCTATGTTATTCTGGCACAAACTGGCATAAACATAAACACAAACAACAGAAATCTGTCCTCGATCTCATAGAACTTTTAAAATTCATGTTTGGCAAACTTGTTCGCCTATTAGAATCACTTAGACACGTAAAAGTTTGAATCCCCAGGCCCCAGCCCAGGGATTTAAATCCCTGACTTTGACTTTCAGGATGGGGGCGGGGCGTAGGCAGCAGTATTCCCAATGCTCCTCTTTGTTCCAAACGTGCAGACTCATTAGGGAACCACAGACTTAAGTAGTTTGGTGGATTAGAGACAGAGTAGAGTCCATTCTATACTTCCATGTCTACTAGAACTCTGGATTTCCTGGGCAGGACACGAAATGAAACGTAAAATTATGTAGCTGGGTAACCAGTCTTTACCAGTATCAACAAAAGAAAAAAAAAGAAGAATCTTTAATGCCTTAGCAAATTTCCCCAAATGCTTAGTGTCTGTGAAACATTATGATAGATTGAGTGAAGCTTTAATGTGGGTGACAAGTAAGAAAGGTCTCTAAGCCAGAGAACTTACATGCATGACCCATGGACAGGAACAAGGGTGGGGGGGGGTTGCCTGAGGGAGTAAGGGTGCTGGGTAGAGGGGGGCAAAGGGGGAAAATCAGGACAACTGTAATAGCATAATGAATTAAATATAATTAAAAAATAAAGATCCATCACTGGCTGAGGAAAATGGGCAAAGGCATCGATTTCTCTGATATCCATAAGCTTGTGACAAACAATAAGAAAGAAATGGTAATTAAGCAGCAAGGGACTATACCAGAGAAAAGTAGTCATCTATTGCCAAAACATTTGCCTCTATACATAATTTCATAATTTCTTTACTTTCTTAGTTATTTAAATAGAAATAAGTAAACTGTGCGGTTTGACTGATGTATGTATAATTTAATTACTTACTTTCAAATTCATACCCAAGTTTAGAGGTTTGGGGCAACTGATTCATACACAAAAATATCCACCTGTGTTTCCCTCACTCAGGCCTTTTCCCTGGATTGGAGAAGAGGCTCCCCTCCCCAGGGGAGCCCTGTCTATTGGGCATCTGGTCTACCCTGATTGCCTGACAGGTGTTGGAGCTCCCTACTGTGTTGAAGGCAGAAGATGCAATGCTGACAAGGCTGTTGGTCCATTCAACCTGATCCATTCTCTTCCACTGTTTTTACTGCTGTGATACACTTTGGATTACACTACACTACAGGGCTTTCTTCTGAAGTAGCTGCTATCAAGAGGTAATATGCAGTCCTACAATAGCTTCAAAGGAAGCCAGAAGGGATGTCAGGGATGATTTCGTACCTTATGTAAAAGTCATACATGGTGGGGATATATTAAAACATTTGGACAAGTCCGCTCCAGCACTAACATACTGGTAGTGCTGGGCTTAGAAACCGGGCCTCCTGACTCCGAACTGGTGCTCCTTTCGCCGTATTGCCACACTCATATCCCTTACCTCTGCCATTTCTATTTTATGAAAGCTAAATGACAACAAGTTCTGGTTACATTCAGAGTTGAAATGATACCAAACAGATGATGCAGAGAAGATAAAGGAGGAAGGTAACAGGATCAGGTAGGAGAGCTTTTTTCTCCTGTTCTCTGCAGCCTGAATCATATTCGTGAGAACCACCGTCAACTGTCAGCATAACAGCAGGTTTCCAAACGAAGCTCACAAGACAAGTATAAGCGTCAGTGCCTTGCTTGCTTAGTGCCTTAGTAAAATACGGTTATTGTTGTATTCATTCTTTTTCTTTACACTGTGCTGGGCATCACTTACACTCTGGACATTAAGCTGCTCCTCTGGCTACTGTGAATGAATACAGTTGTTTTCATATAACTATTTGGAAGTATGGCTGGCAGGATAAAGGGCTCTTGTTTGGTTCAGGGGTATGTCCGCAGCACCATCCGTGCCTGTCATGGGTGAAATACATTCATTCATTCCTGCATAGGAAGCACGATGTCATTCTGGTGGGGGATGTCAGACCCCTGGCTCCTCCCCCCAAATGAAATATGTGACAGTATCTGCTGATAAGAGCTGTGAAGAAACACAGAGCAGCATAAGCAAATAGAGAATAATGACCGGGATGGAGGTTTTTACTGAGGGTGGCCACTACCTTGAGCCATAGTACCTGACAGTCACTGGAAGGACTTCTAGAAGCAGCACAGCTTATTCATTGGGGAAGTGGGTTCCAGGCAGAGGACACAGTGCACTGGGCTGCCATGGTTAAGAATCTTCAGGAAGCCCAGTATGGGTGGAGCAGAGACAGGGAAGAGGATGGTACAGAAGACACACAGAACATGGCAGCGTCCAAAGCTTTTAGCACCTTGTAGCTTACAAAACAGTGAGATGGAAGCTGTAGGAGGCTGTTGAGCCGGGGAATGTCATGATCTCTGACAGGTAATAAATGATGGTTCTCCATGCTCTGCAAAGGAGGCTTGGAGGGCAAGGTCCTGGAGACCTTTGGGAAGACTGCTGGGTTGGTCCTGGTAAGGAGATGCTCACTGGACTGGGGTTGTAGTGACCTTGGTGGTGGTAAGGGGCAGCCAAATGCTGAAAATATGTTGGCAATAAGACTGACAGGACATGCTGATGGAAAAATTGTGAGAGAAAATGAGGAGTAAAGATGACTTCAAACTTTTGCACTTGCACAGTGGAAGGACTGAGCTGACATTTACTGACATGAGAAAAATTGAGAGAGGAGTAAATTAAGAGTAGGGTCTTATTTCTGAAGAGGTTTGAACCTGATGAAATATTTTAATATGCATTACCTCACTTGATTCTCAAAGCAATATTAATTTTAAAGATTAATTAGTATCATCATCATTCTACTGTCAAGAATTCTGATAGTAAAGAAATTAAGTGACTGTTCAAGAGTGAATGGTTCTTGAATTACGGAGCCAGAGCTTGAAGGCAAATATTCCTCTTTATAAACCACACTAAGCCACGGAGATTTATTCGGGCACTTAAACAGGCCATTTGTATCACACAGTGTAATGCTGGTCAACTCAGTCTGTGAGTGGTGACGCGGCTTTCCACTGGGCAATGTCACGAAGCTCGTCTTTTTGTGTGATGTCAAATACTCAGATATTGGTTGTCAGTACAAAAACTTAAAATGCCAAACTTAGCATTTGAAAGTAGTTTATAAGTTTATGTGGGACAATATATAATATATAATATATAAGGTACCTTTTAAAAATAATTTTATTTCTCATTTGGTTCCTGAATCTCCTTCCTCCCTCCCTCCCTCCCTCCCTCCCTTCCTTCTTTTTATTTATTTATTTAATTATTAAAAAAATTATTTATCTTTAGAGGGGAAGGGAAGGAGAGTGGGAGAGAAATATCAATGTATGGTTGCCTCTTGTGCATCCCCTGTTGGGAAATGGCCTGCAACCCATGTATGTGCCCTGACTGGGAATCGAATCGTGATCCTTTGGTTTGCAGGCCCGCGCTCAATCCACTGAGCTGCACCAGCCAGGGCCTTTTTTCTTTCTTTATAAAAAAATGGTCTGTGCATCCTATGACCCTAAGTTAAGTTTTACATAACTGGCATTCACCAGCCATGTAAAATTGGGTAAATCCTAAATTTTCAGAGACCCAGTTCCCCCATTTGTAAAACAAAAGTTAGACTTGATCATTTTTAAGGTGCCTTGCACCTTCAAAGTATATAAAAATGCAGGACATCATTGGACTTGCAGGGTTTTCTACTTAGATGACCAAACACAATTAGATGAATAATTATTATATCACTAGCACACAGGACTAGCAATGGACATTTTAGTTCAGAGTGAATTCAGCAACAGTACACATATTCATCACGTCAAAGGTAATTTTCAACATTAACAGGGCAGGCACTTTTAAAAGTAAATCCTTATCATCACTGTGGTGTGTCTGTTCCTCTGCAGTTAGAGACAATGTGGCCCGGACGTAAAGACAACAGGTGTGCTTCACTGATAACACTCAGCATGAGTGTGGCCTGGTGAGCAAGAACGCCAACTCTGCACCTGACAGACTCTTTAGCCGAGTCAGACATCCTCGCTGAGAGCGTCATGTTCTATGCAAGAAATCGGTACCTTAAACACTTCCATGTTTAAAGCAAGAGTGTAATCTAGGACCATGAAAAGAAGCAGGGAAGACAGTACTCTTTACAGAGTGGGTTTAAACCAGGAGAGTTAAAAGGGCACTGTCGTCTAGACCACAGCAATTACCTTAGAGCTTTCACGGAGAAATGTTTTCTCAAGAATCATGCAGCCCAATGGGAATTTGTTTGTAGGAAGAAAAACAAAAAATGAAGTACATAAGATGGAAAGCAGCCATCCTTTCTAAATTCTGTATCAGGGTCTGCAAGATTTAGCTCAAATGCAATGTCTCTGCCCTTTTTCTCAGTGTTCATTCCGCAAGGCTGTGACCTCATGGCCACCATGGCTCTCCTGGTGCCAGAGACACCACGAGTTCCCACTTGGCAACCAGAACGTATTTCATCTCCTCTCCTTCCCTTCTCGTATTCATAATGCATTAAAGGGGCCCCGCTAGCCCTCCTCTCTCAGATACCTTATGCTGTAACATGAGTCCTCCTTTATCAATGTTGTAAGAGTTCAAAGCTTCCTTCAGTTCACATACAGGCAATTGTCCTAGCCCATTACCTTTTTTTATTGAAGGTTCCAATAATCTTGGTGCAACTGGAGTTGTCCCCGCCACACACGCCACACTTGTCATACTGCAGCTTTGAGCCGATGATGCCATCACAGCCGGTGCGCACACACTTCCCCCGGACGCAGACGGAATTACTGTAGGGCCTGCATTCGGTTCCATCGGTCACCTGAATGTGAGGGACACGTTAGCTGTGGACAGTACTCGGGCCAGGCACTTGGTTTCTTTGGTAAAAGAGCACGTTCTAATTTGTGAGTTTTGAGTGTGACTGGAATAGAGAGTCCACTGAGATAAAAGGAACAAAAAAAACCCTATAGTTTTCAGAAGTATTCAACCGAAAAATCTTTTACATGTTGGAAAACCTGGGACAGATCTTGGTTATGCACTTTCTCTCCTGCGTTTAACTCCAAGTGTGTTGGGACACCCAAGGTACCCCTCTGCATTCCAGCATGCACGCGGCCGCATTATAGCATGGAGGGGAACAGTCTTTTTGCTTAGCTTGTAGGATTGCCTGTCCCATGCGTCAAGATCAGAATATGGGCCGGCCTCGTAAAGATCACAGAAGATCCTTCTTTGTTGCATAACTGTTGTTACAGCGATATATTTGAAAATCTAACCCTAACCCTTCCCTGTTGAGTCAAACTGGCAGATGCTGAATGCAGACAAATTAGTGCAGGAAAAGGAGTCTGGGGAAGTCAGAGAGAACTACTTATGGGAAGACAATCAATATATTTGAATAAAAGAATTAATGTATTTTATAAGGCTAGATATAAAACAGGATGTATGTGGACTACTTGTGGCTTGTGTATGCCACTGTATTTAAATAACATGCCACATATAAATAGATGTATTTTGTGTTTGTGTGTATGTAAAACCCTGTGTGTGTGTGTGAGTGCATATAAATTGAAGTAGGATATACTTCAATAGGTAAACAGCTCTTCAGATGGTTATATTTCCAGCTGACATTTTTGGTTTTATTCCTTTCTATTATTTTTTAAAATGAAAATGTGCTCTTTCTCAGTAAAAGGATAAAGTATTTTGTAAATTATATTAGTTGACTATGAACTTATTTTTCAGCAATATGTCAGAAATATCTGCAGGCCAGTTACAGAGGTAGTTTGAAGTATAACACCTGTTGCGAAGGTTGTTACAAAATAGCCATGAGGATGTAAAGTACAGGACAGGGAATAAAGTCAATAACATTGCAATAACTATGTATAGCGTGAGATGGGTACTAGCAATATCAGGTATATTGCTAGCATCAGATGGGTACTAGAAACATTCTGTAAAGTGTATGCTTGTCTAACCACTATGCTGTACACCTGAAACTAATACAAAATAACACTGCATGTAAACTGTAAGCAGAAAAATAAATAAATAAATAAATAAATAAAGTAGCACTTTTTTGGCATATTGGATATATGATATTATATAAATTGCTGCATAATATTGGCTGTGAGAAGTAAAGCTGAAGTGATTTAGAAAATGTTCTTCTCTGAAAAACAAGGGATAATTTCACATGCGTATATTATGTGTACAACTAGAGGCTCATTGATTGATTTATACTGAGGGTGCAAGGCATTTAAAAATCTAGGTCACAGACGATGACCCTGAAATCTGTCTTCATGAATCACTAGCAAAATTCTTAAGTAAATGATATTAAAAAGGAAGGCTTCCTTACTTTTAATCCTCTTTCAAAGTGTGTCTTGGAAATACCAGTTGTTTTCAGGGCTATTTTGAAGTTAAGGTCACATCTCACCTGACTTGACAGAGTTATACTTTTCAAAAATAGCTTTTAAAACATTTACTTGTTCTGTTTACAAAAAAAAATTATTCATTGTATAAGGTTTGCAAAGATAGAAATTATAGAGACGAAAATAAAACCCTTCAACATGTAGCCAACCCCCAAATAATGACTGTTTTCCCTGGTGTCCGTAGGCGTCCGTCAACCACCCCACCCCACCGAGGGCACCCGCTGGGCCTGGCACACAGTGCGCGGTGCGTTACCTTCGGAGAAAACACCACGTAGTAGCCGGTGCCCTTGGCTCTGCAGGTCAGTTTGCACACGTCCCCTGGTAGGACACCAGCATACTTGGGGACCCACTCCACAAATGTTTTGACTCCTTTTGCATCAGACTGATATCCATTTTTGGCCTCACACTGCTCATGACGAAAAGACTTGCCTAAAAAAAAACCAAACATGTCATGTTATTAGTCTACTGTTGGGAAACTTACACAGATTCTTGTGCATTTACATAACTTTAAGGTGCTCAGCCTTTTCTTCTACAGCCTCTTTAAACACCAGTGTCGAAGAATTTTTATTGATTCGCAGAGTTGACAACATCAATTACTTTCTCCCCATGCCCTGAACACTCAATTGTTTATAATAATAATTAAAAAATCACTCGTGTGTGTGTTACTGATTTTCACACTGGTAGAACTATGCAGTGCAAGATTAACTGGCTATTTCTACAGCCTGCCTGATTTACGGCCGCTGGAACAGAGATCACACGTGACACATGGTGTTTGCTGGCACTCGGGGGCAGCGCACCGTTAGTGGGGCAGGGCGTCACGCTGCAGGAACGGTAGATGGCCCTCTTTCCTGTGCAGTAGCGGCCACTGTTTCTGGGCGCAGGGTTATTGCAGTGACGATAGGCGAATTGCACTCCTCCTCCGCAGGAACGGGAACACTGTCCCCAGGACCCCCAGGACCCCCAGTTGCCATGGCTTGAGGTCTGAGATAGAAAACAGAAGAAATTTCAACTCAGATGGGAGGAAAACATACAAAATGCACACTTGGAAATCACCCGCATTCAACGACAATGGAAACTTCATCACAGAGTCAAGTTTTCAGCGAATTTAGCCCGGCCATAGGTATTGCATGTTCTGGAATTACAATGTGTTTCTGATTCTCAGCAATTCATCTTTTCCGCTTCCCTTCTCCCCTGGACTAGAGGCCCTGAACGCTTCACCCTAAGTACTTAGCACACTGCAAGGATTGCCTCCTGGTTTCTCTGGGCCATTTTCACTTACGCATTCTGGTACTGCACCCTTCTGTTAGTCACCGCTGAGCCCTGGGTAACTTTCGGTCCACTCTGATCTTGCATCTTTAACGTGTGATGCTAAAGGTTTTGCATGATACCAGGCATCAGTTCATTGTACTTGTATCATTTGTCCCACTTTAGCACCTAAGTTCTGCAGTGCCTCTTTTGACGTCACACATCCTGTCTGCGAGACGCCCTCTGCCATCTGCATGCACGTATTTGACCTGAGGTTAGTTTAATTTCTAATTAAATTAGGGTCTCAGCCCCTGGAGAGAAAATGTAACAGATACTGAGGTGCACCCACACCACGGGCACACATACCAAGCGCCCTGTTTTGACACCCCACGCCGATCACTCCGCAAACACTGCAGCAGGCAGCCAAGCCTTCAGGAGGAAGAGCGCTGTGAACTCCTTTGCCAAGGTCACGTGTGCAGAACGTTGGCCGGCTGCCTGTGTCAGGGTGCCCGAGAACCTGCCAGCCTTTGACGATGCAGGCAATGTGCACGAGGCAACATCTTTCTGGGGACTTGAAATAAGCACGAGCTTTGCTTGGGCCGCAAAAAGTAAGGTGGTAGTTGAGGACATGGAAGTGGAGTGCAGGGCGAGGGTGGAGGGGTTTCCCTTCATTCCCGAAGGTTAGATGAACTTGCTATGAGGCGGGAAACCTGACCGTTTTGGAGCTCACTGAGCATGTATGAGAACCATGTGTCGGGTCTGCTGCTGTTTCCTTAATGAATTCAAACAATGTGTTCTGTTAACTCTGGCAAGACAAGCCTGAAAGAAAACTTCCAAGAAGTGGGCCCAGCTTGGAGTCTCAAGTACACAGAATCCGGGAAGAGTTCCTGTGGTCTGCATCTCCTCCATGGTGTGACGACTGGAAATGGCTCCTCTGGTTCAGGGAGGAGACAGTAAATAGATCTCTCAGGAAAAAAATATTGGAACTAGGAATGCACTTCAGGTCTCGGGCCCCCAGGCATCGTGTGACAGGAAAATCACTTACCGAATAGTATTTTTTCTTGGTTTTGTCCACGCACTTGCCCTGCAGGCAGATCCTCCCTTTCCCACAGGGCGTGCCCTCCACGGCCGGCAGCTTCTTGGTCAGACACACCATCTGGCCCTGGCGCACCACGGCGCACCACAGGCGGGCGCAGACGTCCATGCCGGGACACACCGAGTACTCGGGCCCGAAGGTCAGGTTGCACTGCTGGGTAGCATCGTAGGTCTGTCCCGGGAGTTCCTCCGGGCCCAGGATCTGCTTGCGAGGCAGGTCCAGCAAACAGTTACCTGAAAGAATGACAAGATTGACCACTGTTCCGTGTGCAGGCTGCAAACCACTAAAATCGTGGATGTTCAAATGAAGCCCTCCAGCTGGTGTTGGGACAAGATGCACCCACAGACCCGCAATGTGAGGCCCCAGAGAGGAGAGTCTGGCAGGGAGGGGCGAGGCTGGTTGCCTCCGTGAGCTCAGCCACACCCTCCAAGATTTTCAGCAGTTAACCTATGAGCTCAGGTGTACCTAGAATGATGGCAGTGGTAGGACTGAAGGAAAGCATTCTGTGACAATTAGTTGTGAAGACAGACATTGAGCTGAGGGACTAAAAGAAATTGGGACAGACCTAGAGGAAGTAAAATAATGGATTTAACATGAACAACAGCAACAATACATAAGCATTTACTCCACTGAGACAGTATTTGTCCTTGGCGCTCTATTTATATCCTGTTTCCACTTCCTACCTACAAGGTGATACCTCATTTATTCTCGCAACTCACTGGAAGTGACAATAGTGGATATGATGCCCACACGTTAGGTTAGCACCTACAACATGCTAACAAACATACTCGATCTTGGGAAATCAAAAACATTACTCAAATCTGTCCCTCAAGGCCTCCCAATAGAGTGCAAGAAATAGACTGAATAAGGTATTTCTCCCAGATTGATTAAGAATCTTAATAAAGAGCTCTCAAGAGTCACAGAACAAAGGAGGAGTGGAAGGAAGAAGAAGAGAATCTTTGGGCCAAGGCTCATCTTTTTACTCTTCTCCTTTTTCACCTCATTGTGTCCATTTTTAAATGTAATTACTATCTGTTGTGTATTAGGAGTGTGTCTGCCCCCAACAAGCTGGTGTCCCCATTGCCAGCTAATATGGGGAGTATATAAGCAATAGAAGCTGGCACTTCACAGAAATGATACAATTCCAGAAGCTGAAACATGCCTTCCCTCTCCACAAACAGCTTCCCGAAGAATCCCTGCTCAGTGAGTCCATACCACTAATTTTCTCCCATTGTGTATGGAAGCATGTATACTGCCCAACACTCTGCAGTGTATATTTGATTTAGGATCTACCTGCTGATCATTAAGAGCACTAAAATAACAAATATCTCTTACAAACTTACACTATGCTCAGTCATGTAAATATACTAGTTTATTTAATCCTCATGAGAACGCTACTGAACAGATTCTATTGTTTTCTTTATTTTACACGGAAGGAAACTGAAGAACACAAAGATAAATCACTTACCCAAGGTCACACAGCAATGAGAGTTTTATGCTCAGAGCCTGCCCGCCTCATTGTTTACCATCTTTACCTCTGCTTAGCATGCGACTGATTTCTTGTTTTATCGCTGAAGAGCAAGGTGTGTAGGGATTGTTGAAAAGGTGGGTATCACGCCTGATGGTAGAAACACCCAGTCTAAAGTCTGATTCTGGCAAACTACTAAAGGGCTCAGTGTTCTTGGCCAGGGTAGTTAACCTCTCCCTAATCTATTTTCAAGCTCTGTGAAACGTTTCTCTTGTCCCTGTGATAGTGTACAGGGAAAATTAGCTAAGGAAGTTATAAGAGGCTGCCAGAAAAACATAAAACAATGCCCAGCATATTTAACAAACACTGAAAGGTTTTTTGAGTTATCCTTTTTAGTCAACGAAAGAGCATCCTATTTAAATCCTACTTTCTACCAAGAAATGAACCATTCAGCACATTTTAAATATACTGCAAATGTTTTTACAACTTCTATATTCAACTTTCTTCAAAGTGAATACCTTAGAATTTGTCAATCTGTGATGGAGGCATTATATGAAAATGAATAAAGAGCAAAGTTCCTATTTAACTTCTGAGCCAGAACGTTTGAAGAGGTAAAGCTTCTTAAGGCCAGCCAGAAAAAGCATTAAAAATAAGAACCCAGCCAAAGAGAACTTTGGGAGAAAAACATCAAGTTAGAAGAAAAACATCAACATCAAGTCAATAGGAAAGAGTGATAGGAAACCCTCACTAAGCTCTGCCTGGAAGACAGAGGGAGATGGGGCACTGGGGGGGGGGGCCTCTCGGCAGGGCGTTATCTCCACTGCGGCATAAAAAACAGCATTTGGAGGATAAACCAGGGCACGTGGAACCCACCGCTGGTGTTAACCAGAGTGTCACCACGTCTCTGAGGCAGCAAGAATGCTTTCCAAAGCCTTCAAAAGCACCGTTTTTAAAAGACTTTCCCCCTTTTCTAAAAAGCACAGACCGTAAGACTCGGCCGCTGTTAGCTGGGAAGTCGTCACATGTGTGGGTGCGTGTGGCGGGGGGCCTACCTGGTACATCTCCAGCCACAGTAACTCAGCACCTCTCCGTGGGCCTGTCCACAGCCACCGACGTCCTTCCTACCTCACTAGTGGGCGATGAGTGAAAAGAAATGGATCATGCAAACAATCTGAAATCAGCTTACAAAAAGGCGAGTTCCAGAGGTGCCATCTCTATGTGAAACTTAATACCCAAGTATGAGTTTTATAAATGAATAACACATTTGCTTTGCCCTTAAAAGTTTGGTGTCTCAGCTGCATGGCTTCCCCAGAGAGGTCCCCTGCAGATGGCCTTTTCTTGCTTAAAATGACTCATTTTAGAATTGCCACTCATATGTTACTGCAGTGTTCTCAACAGTAAGCTTTGTTGCCGCCTTCATTTCTTTGTTTCTTTTTACTCTGAAATATACAATCTACTGATTTCATCTATATGTCGAATTATGTCCTTTTGCTATAAAGTAGGTGCAGGCATCTCTACCCAATGGTAGACTTGTGCCAAGGAGCAATAAAAAATCAATTAAAAACCTTACTGTGAATCTTGCAGTATAAAATATTTAAAGTCTCAGTAATAGTGGATTAGATACAGATTTTTAACGAATTTTTAATAACTGTGTACATTTTCAGGGAGGGGTGAAAGAGGAAATTGATCAATCTTTTAGTATCATTTGTATCGACCTCCAAAAGTCTGCAGTCTAGAGCTGACTTTTCTTGATCTGTTTTACTTTTATTCTCAGCCACATCTTCACATCTACTTCATGCGTTCTTTTAATTCACCCCTGTCTGAAATCCTGTCTGGGCTTTGCTGCCAGCGTTTGTCCACAAACGGCAAAGTTGCTTTTTCCTTCCTTCCTTCCTTCCTTCCTTCCTTCCTTCCTTCCTTCCTTCCTTCCTTCCTTCCTTCCTTCCTTCCTTCCTTCCTTCCTTCCTTCCTTCCTTCCTTCCTTCCTTTCTTCCCTCCCTCCCTCCTTCCTTCCTTTTGTTTTAATATTCAGTGTGTATAAATGGATGGTCTCTAAAAGAAAGACAACAGAAATATGTGCATATTGTACATTTGTTTGTACATATTAAGATACATGCCATGAGTAGGGTAAAAATGAAAAAGTAAATGCAGTGATTCAGGTTGGGCAGTTGAAGGAAAGAATGGTCTTCCCACCTCACAGGGGCACTAAGGGCTGGGGGGGGGTGTGTGTGCCAGGGCTCCAGAAAAGGCAACAGAAAAACCTTATACACAAACATAAGGAAGTCAGATATATACGTGTGCATCTGATTTCCACTCCTGTGTGTCTTTCATAATGGAAATATTGGACTAAAGTTGTTGCTCTTCATTCTTTTCATTTTTCGTCACTGTTTCTAACACCGTGGTTATTTTGTTTTCCCTTTCACTACGGAGGTGTGAAATTAAGTGTTGGCCCAAATATCCGTGGCCCAGGAGAAATCAATGAACATTCCCAGTGAAACTCACTCAAAAGGAGCTGCCCTCCCTGGGAACTCCCCCATCATGTCTGGCCCTGACGTTCTTCTTTGAGTCTTTGTGTGAATGTCCGACATTGAAAGAGAAACTGGTGCAGCATCAGCCCAGTGACAGGTGAACTACTGAGGGCGGTGAGGAAGCACAGACAGTTGCTGACCAGAAGAAATTCAAAGGTCTGTTTCTGAAACTGCCCGTGGCTATAGGGACACTTTAACAGATATGACACCAGTGAAATTACATGAAAAATTCTGCATGTAAGAGGGTGAGGCCTGGCTTTCTAACTGTGTATGTCACCATGGACTTAAAATACATGTCTTATTTGCAGACTCTAGTAAAGGGCACATTTATGCTGAAAATTAAGATAGTATCATAATGGGCTTTGAGTTGATGAGGACTACCTTAAAAACTGAATGTTAAGTCTGCTAGACTTAGTGGGGTGATCACATATTAAAGTATATGAATGTTGAATCATTATATCGTATACCTGAAATAACATAATACTGTATACCGACTAAACTCAAATAAAAAAACCCCTAAAATATGTAAACAAATAACAGGCTATAAGTACAGCTATACTAGATATGAAAAATATAATAAAGATGTTATAAACAACTTTATGTATGCCAATAAATTTTGATCAAGATGAAAAGAAATTGAATGTTAGTGTCATATTACTAGCTTTATAGTCTATATTTAGACAGGATTTTGAGAATTGATTTTCAAAAACCATTTTATCTCCAAAATTCTGTGTTCAGTAAGTGGCCGTAAACTTAGACCTTTAAATATGCTCCAAGTTAATTTTTCAAAGCTGTTTGTAGACTTTCCTTAGCAGCCCGTGTCATGGGTGCACTTGAACTCTTTCTACCTGGGTGGTGGCCTTCTCATCACCTGGTCCTACGACTTAGGGATACAGCGGGGACACAGCTGTCATTTTTAGCTTCAGGGTTATTGAGCATTTAAGAAGGGAAATTCAATAACCTGCTTTGACTGCACAATTTCTCTGCCAGTGATTCTCTGTATTTCTGAGGATCACACTCCTGGCCAGCTTGCCTAGAGCTAACTTGTGTAAACACCGCAGAATGTCTGCAAGTATCTTGGCCAGGTTGGCAGGGGCTGGGGGTCCCCAGGAGACATGGCTTCTCTTTTTCTGAATCACAAACCTGCAGGCACAGTTATTTGAGTGTGTGCATACTAACTTTTCAACCATAACCTAATTGCTACATGTTTCTTATTGGAACTAAATCAGGAAACACTCAGTATTAATGAATTTAAATTTGGCAGTGGTCGAGTGCTATAAATGTCCACCTACTTACGGCTAATAATTTTAAAAACAAATCAAATGGTTTGAATTTAATTATACTCTAAGACCCTATTTCTCCATCATTGCTGGGGGTAGGAGGGAGATGAATGAGCTATTTTTTTTTACCCATAAATAGATTTATCCAAAAATAGATTTTTCCAATACTGAATTCTTTAGGGTACCATCTCTACCAATTGTATAAGTTTTATGAGAGCATCTATTTAGAAACAGCAATTGCTTTGCTGCTTTTACACTCATGTCACAGTTTAATCTTCCCAAATAATGGAAAATCACTTTTATCCACGTATGGAGTTTTGTATCATGCTGAAGTATAGAGGTACCATCATGGATCATGCTGGTGGGATTGGGTCTTTGACCTTTTGGAAAATTGTGCCAGACTTCTAAGCTTTTAGTGTTTTAAGGTGAACCTCACAGCTTTTCTGGTTTCTCCCTCACTGTCAAATGACATGATTTCTGGCCCCCGGTTTACCTCTCTGAAATGCACCCCACCCCCACCGCGATTATATTATTGCTTAAAATGGTTGGTGGACCAGAAAATTAGAGCAAAAACAAAAGTCGATTATTTCTATTAAATATGAATGAATAGGCTCCAAAGGGAAGACTGAGTCATTCCCTGTGAATAAAATAAACAGGTTTTATGGTATGTTTTCATGCTATCAGCTCAGCTATCTGACAAAAATTTGTGTTTTTGTTTGTTCGTTTGCTTCTCCATTGTCTAGGACTTTGACTTTCTTCTTGGTTCTTTCCAAAGCTCTGGAGTGAAGACGTCAGAACCTCAACATCTGGAAATGGCATTTATGTGTTCCTACTGCCACACTGTCACTTAAGTCAGTTTTTCTGGTTGTAATTTAAAAGTTATTATATTACTGGAATTCACATTAAATGAGAATACTACAAAGAGCACTGCTGTGCATGCTTCTTTTAAATGAGCGTAGCTGAGCTTTGCCATTGCATCATGAGGCCTTTCTTTGGTTTTCCTTATTCTGAAATTACTTTATTCATTATAGGCTATTGATAAAGGTCTTTTTCTATTGTTGTTGTTAAAACACAAGAATGCCTAACCAATCTATTCAAAAGTGAGAGCCTAGGTTTGATGAAATGAATTACTCCATCAACTAAGGGAATTTGTTGTCCAAAGAATTTGGGTCATTAAATTAATTAATTTAATATGTATATGAGAAATTCAGGTAAATTTGATCGTTGCAAGTGAATTAGATCTATTTCTACTAAAAGTATGTTATTGCTTATTATAGACCATGAGGTCCTTTGGAACAAACATGGAGAGATATATAAAATATATGTTTGTTGCAAACACTTAACAAATCTGAACATGGGCTCTTTTAAATACAAAAATGATGTTTGAGAAAAGGTAATACTAAAGCATATTTACTGCACAGAATGTAAGATCACCGATGCCACAAATATGAAATAAATGAATCACTCCAAAATGATGGCAATAGAAACAAAATCTGGACAGCATTGTAATTAACTGACCTAATACTTGCACAGGAAAAAGTTTAGTCCCCTTTTAGCCATAAGTATTTGCTGCCTTAGCAACTAAATCCATTCATTTAGTGATTCAAAGTTTAGCTCAGCCTTTTGGAATGTGTAACGTGTGATGCTGAAATAAAATATTAGTGTGATTTCATTTTCAGAAAGCCTGAGAAAAGCCCCCAGCAAAAGTAATATCAAGAGTGGAGAGTAAGGTTCTACCAAGGAGGGACTCCATTAGATATTGACTTGATCAAATTGATCATATGGACGAGCAGATAAGTAAGTAAACATTGATTTGGGGACTTTATCAATATTTAGTCAACATTGTAAACTGAGCTAAACAGAAAACTACCACTTTACTAGTAGTTGGAAGCCAAGGTCTAGTTCATGAATTTTTAGTCTTGTTCCTAAATTTGAGATATTGAGATGTCCTTTCAACCAACACAGACATGTATTTTTTTCAGGAAAATTTCAAAGCAAGCTGTGCATGGATTATATTTACAAATAGGACATTTTAAAAGTCCCAAGTGGATAAAGCATTGCCACTAACAGAGCAAAAACCGAGTTAATGAACAGATTTTTGCCTATAATATATGAAAGAACTATGTGGCAGAATTTCTTTTTCTCTGAGACAAATTGAATTTTTTATCCTTTTGAGATTATAGAGCCAGAAACTTTGTGAAACTGGGGAAAATCAGTTATCACAGATTCTCTTTACCCACCTTTGAATCACACATCATGAATTAAATTTACAGATGATTAATACTCAAGATTTTCTGGCATATCAATTCAACCACCAGTTTTACAAAGAGACAAATTTTAAGAGAAAAAAACCCAAGAGATGACAACATGCTCATTTCTGTAAAACAAGACACTTGTGAATGAACTAAGTGGTCTCTGAAGATCTTTTTCAACTCTGAGTCTATTTTTTAGTGTTCTATATAATTTTTTCTATTTTTTTTTAAAAAATAATTCTTTGAGGGGAAGGGAAGGAGAGAGGGAAAAACATATGTATCTTTGCATCCCCTGCTGGAACTGGCCTGCAGGAAACTGTCTAACCTAATTTCCAATCCACTACTACACCAGCCAGGGCTCTAGTATTTTTAAATAATAAGAAGTGCTAGGAAATTTGTAATCACTGGCTTCAAATATTACTTGGGGTCAGAACTTATTATTTCTTAAAACAGTGACTTTCTTAGTACTTTACTATAATCCATGAATCCTAGATTTACAGAATTTAATAAAGTATGCTGTGCTGTTGCACTGTACCTAGATGAGAAAGCCAGGGGTTTTCTTTTGAAGCTCTTAGAGTATTTTCTCATTGTTCAGACTGATTTTCTATTTCTGGTCCTCAGTGTTTACTCCGCTTTCAGGAGAATCTGCTGTCAGGATGACACCAAATTCTTCCAATGAACACAAATCTAAAGAGCTTCCTTTCCTGGCTTTCTGTTGCCTTAAAAAGAATCTGACAGAACTGTCACCCACTTCTTAACCACACCCCTGTAATAGGCATGTAACAAATAATTGTGCGAGTCATATTAATAGCAGGGATGCAAGATGTCTGCCAGCGTTCTCACAGGAAACTAGTGGTGAGAGAAGGAATAAAAGCCAGGATTTCAGGGCACTAGCTAAGCCTTCTGTGTGGTCGCCCACACTGCTTCGCTTTTGAACTTTTCAATTCAAATGCAAAAATATCATTGCTATAATGCCACCAAGGATGCTGGCTTTATGCACCAGCAGACAGTCCTCTTGCTCCTCTTTTTTTTTTTGACACTATCTAAGCAACCATTGTCTTAGAGGCCAAGATGAATGTCATGTCATAATGAAATAAAACCCATAACAATCCCAAGTTTTGTTTTTGAGCCTCTGTTGTCCTTGACAATACATACCATGGCCGTCATCCAGGAATTCCGTGATGGTGGCCGAGGCGCATTTGGACCAGGGCTTGGATGCATCGATGCTGGTTAGGATGGAAGACATCAAGCGTTTATCTTCTGTGGAGCCAAAGTTCTCTTCGCAGAATTTGGAATCGTCATGGGAGAGGCCGAGCAGATGTCCTAAGGGAAAGAACACAGGAAGTGCAAGGCAGAGTGATTCTGCATTTCTGCTTCTCTGGGACAATTACATTAGCACTTGATTTTCCCACCAATTGTGCATGAGTTCATTTTTACTACCTTCTCACGCAGAGACTGGACCCCTAGGGAAATTAAAGCTGCATGTAGTTAGAAGCGCTTAGAAGAAATCTGAAACATTACACTAAGGAGTAGACGTTCCCATAATCCATCTGGATCACACATGCTCAGTGATACGTAGAAAGGCAGCCTTATTTGGAATCAAGAGTTTGCCAAGCAACTGTGCGATGATGTCATAGCTCACACAATATATTATTATGATTATTTGTCTAATTTTGCAGCTTCTCTGATCAACCATAATCCCCAGGAGATCAGAGAACTTTTCCCCCCACTGACTGCGGAACCCCCTCTACTTTCCTCAATTTTCTGCATGTTGTGAACCTTAGTGGAATAAAATAAATAGGTAGCCAAGTAAATAGGTAGCTATATAAGAGATGACTGCTAGTGGGGTGGGAAAGAAAGGAAAGTGAAATCAGTAACCTTCTGGTTCCATGCAAATGTAAGCCTGTTTCACCCTTTCGTTTCTTTATGTTATTTAGTCAGTTGTGAATGTTTGTTTACTAGTCTCATAAATAAATGACATACTTTAATTTACATTTAAGAAATGCCTAAAGTACCAATGTGCCCATCATGGAGGACTAGAGCTTGAAGAGCAAAACAATATTGGGAAGGTAAGTGATTATCCCAAACCACTCAGCGAGGTCGTATTGTTGTTTATGCCTCTCGGCCACTGTGCTCCAAGTGACTACCATCTCTCTTGTGCAAGGTAGATACTATATCCCAGAGTTCATAACCACATCCTTGTAATCCAACTAAACTGGGTTTTATTACATAAGTTTAATTTTTAAATAGTCTAAGGGTAAAATGATATTTGGTCCAATAAATCTAAAATGCTATTAAAAATAAATCTGGGACAGCAGTGTGGAAACTCTGAAAAGTAGAGAACAGATATCTTAGTCGCATTTTTGCAAAAGTTTATAGAATCATATGCAAATCACTACACAAGAATGTAGAAAATCCTATAGAAAAATGATCACCACATTCTTCTGTGGGTTTCTGAATGCCAAAGGCAAGAACTAACTTGGGTCATTCCACCAAGAAAGTCCAGTGTGCACCAGTAAAAGCCCAACAGAGATGAAATCTTTCACACTGCATTCCAACTACTTTTGGCCAACTTGTTAAATCACAAACACCTCGTAACAAAGTTGTCCACCAAGCAGCTGGTTGCTGTTGTGGCTAAAATTAAGTGGCTACGGTTTGGTGACCTTCTGAGGTTCAACATTTTTATGCTACTTAGGCAGTTATTTACTTCAATAGCATTCACCAGGCAAGCAAGTTTTTTTTGAGAAAACCTCCCATCGGCAGTCACATTTTTATGTATTTGGTAAGTAGCATACAAGTGCATCACAGTCTGCAAAGTACACCCCAAATAACATGCAAGGGGAGATTGGGGGGTTCGTTCAGTTTTGGGACTGCATGCTGAATTTTTCAGGGAACCTGTGGCTCTCAGAAAAACAGAACCTTTCATTTCATGCATGTCCAACTTTAAATGGCTTAAAGTTACTTAGTACATAAAACACAGGTTGAGAATGCACTCTGTGCCGCTTGAACTTTTCCGAGGGGGAATCTTCATCAGCGACACTGGGATGTGCGAGGAAATTAACACCTGAGTATTTGTCCCTGGCGTAGAAGAGACAGAAAGTGGCCCGAGGTGACCTCTGCAACATGACATTTACTTAAGTCTAGGCTTTGTATTTAAAAAAGGGTAATTTTTGCATTCTACTTTATAAGATAGTCATGTTTACCTGATAGACAAATAGCCTTTTTTTCTCCAAATTTACATAAATAAATGCATTTTTGTGTTTGCATTAAAGGCCTGTCACTTCATTCAGAGGGTAGGTCTTCGATTTCTGATTTAAAATGCAGGCCACGTGGCAAACACCAAATTCACTTTGAGGGGCCTGAGATTTTTTCTTTTCCAGAGTGGTAACCAGTAAAAGATTTCAATTATATAAGCAGAGCAGTTTATAAAAATAGATATTGGTATAATTTTATGGATATTTTGGCATGCCATTTGGCATAACATTGGGGATTTTATGTTCCCTAAATTTACTAATTTATCAATGCAACTTCATTTCTGCTGAAAATATATATAAGAAATTCTTATGTGCTCATGAGAGAAGATTGCCACTCTGAGCACGAACAAATCTTAGTTCCACTTCAGCAAGAGCTAAAAGGAGATGTGAATTTTATAAGATCTCCAAGAGTCACTCTGAAGCAGACTACATGAGCATCCATTGAGAGAGACGGACGCTTCAGAGGTCAGACGGATCTTCTGTCCTCGGTGAAAACGTGTGTCGGCTGGTTGGGACAGGCATGTTCTCTCAAATACAGTGAGAGCCACGGCCAGCTGAAGAACATTTAAGCTCCCCAAGAAACACAGAGCCCATTCTGCAGTAGTCGGAACCAGGGCACAGTAAGAGAGACCCACGTGACTTCCCTGCAGGAGCCAGACAGGAATGAAAATGGAAGGTCAGTGTGAGGGGTGCTTGGATGCTCTTCAGGAAAGCCGTGACGCCCATACTGACGGCTGTGAGCAGAAAGAGCAGTGGCGATTTGCAAATGCGATCTCCGGATCATGACATGAAGACATCTAATGTGAGGCAGGCAGGCAGGCTGCCGTTGCCTTTGAGCCCTAAAATGGCAAGGTGCACAGAAATGCACACGCTATTTTAAAGGGAGATGCTCAGTAAAGACAACACACTAGAACACTAAAAATTGAATAACAGAGAAAGATCCAGAATCTAGGAAATTTAAAATGTGATGTCCCAGCTGCCCCCAGTATCTGCGAGTACATGTTGTGAAGGGGAATCAGAATTTATCATGGTGTTGTGGGCTGCCTAAGACATCACATTTTTCTAGGGGTAGTTTGCTCGTAAATCATTCTCACAGATATTCAAAATTGCAGATGTGGATGGGAGATTCAGCCTTTCTCTGAGGAGCTGCCTCCAACAGGCGTGGCGTGGCTGGGAGTCACATGTGTGCCCTGGAGAATAAGCCCATGAAGAATGTAAAAAAAAATGCTGGGGGAAATGTTTACAACTCCTAAAGTGATTCATTGCCTTTTTTCACCAAAAATGTACTTTATGGTAAGTTTTTAGAATGATGCAAGCAAAGTTATTTGAGGGGGGAGATGTTGGAGGAAGCATGGGGATAGATTCCAGAAACTCACAGAAAAGCGATTGTTACACTTGCAAAGACAGAGAAATTATCTTTCTCAAGTTAAAGTGTAGGAAAAGAAAGGTAAAAGGTCTCAAAGCAATTTCATAGGGTAAGAGGAGAGATTAGGGTAAGAGTCTGAGTTATATTGTTAGTTCAGATAGCAAACAGTCACTTTATACTTTTTCTAGTATGATCACTGTTTTTTTTTAATGGGCAAAAGTGTCATTTTTAGTAAAAAAAGATTTCATCTCTAATATCCCAAATACAGAATTTTAAAATCATGTTCCCTTCCTAAATTCACAAGTGAATCTGGTGTTAGGAAATATGAGGTAATGTTCACCTGGGTGAAGAAGACCTGTTACTTTAAAGGAAAATGTTAGTTTAGCTTCTTGTTCAACTCAGGTATTACTGTACAACCAGGGCTGACTTGTAACATGAACCTTGGGAAGGAAATGGTTGTTTTTCTAAACTTTGGTCTGCAAATTAAACAGGATTTCAAGTTCTTGTCTCCTGACCCCAGACCGACCAATGGACAAGGGGACATAGCACCACATCCTAAAAATGTCACAAGAAGCTCTGTAATGTGTTTACTTAAGAAAGTACTGCTCAGCTGAAGCATCTGTCTCTTAATGAAATCATGTTTTTATTTTACCTAATTTTCCAGCTGGGATTATTGAGGTGCAGGAAGGTTTTGCCAAGGGTTGAAAAGTGAGTCAATAGCTCACATGGGGTCTGAACCTAGAATCCCTGAAGAAGAGAGCCAAGAGCTCCAATAACTGGACGGCACATGTTTACCCAAATGCAGAATCTCGTGTAAAAAATAATAAAACTCTTAAACTCCCATTCCAAAACATTAAACATAAATAGTAATTGTTGCATCATTGGATGGAAGAACACTGTTTTCTTCACTTTATAACTAGCTGTGTCCATATCCTTTTGAATCAAATTCAAGACTGTCTCCTTCAAAATAAACACCAAGAAACCACTAGAAGATAGTATCAACATCTTGGGACCTGGGACAAGATGAAATGGGTTTGAATTTTAGCAGTATACTAGTTGTTGATCTTAGGCACATTTATAAATTTCTCTGTGTGTTGGTTTTTTCCTCTATCTGGTGACACATTGAAAGTACTTATCTCATGGCATTTTGTGAGGATTCAGTGATATAAAAGATTCAAAGTGCCTAGAATATAGGCTTAAATTGCCCGGTGATTGTTAATGACTTTGTTGCTTTCATGGATACCTTGGCCTTTTTATGCTTTTACTTATGATATGAGTATTGTAGTTATTCAGTAGCTTTGATATATTTTGACATTACTGGACAGTCTTGATTTGGGAGGGAAAGTGGCATTACTAATCATAAGAGAAACCACACATCAAGTGTATGATATATTTACTTTTTTGGCCACCTTCGGCTGGTCGGGTTTCCATGTGGCAGAAAATCTATAGGCCTCCCCTAAAGAAATATGAACTGGAATTTGATTAAAAAATTGACACCAAACACTAAATCCCTCAATGCTGCCAGACATAGAGCGAAGACCTATTCCCACCTTTCATCTGGGGGCCAAGAAAGACACGGTGTGGCACTCTTCCAAACTGGTTGGAAAACATGCTCAGTTGGTGTTGATTAAAGCGATGGGTTTGGGGGTAAATACCAAGTTTAATCCTAGCTTCCTTTCACTTCACTTTTCACAGACAGTCCTGACATCTGATTCTGTGCACTTGGCTTTGGTCTCTGGTGTTTCAAGGGCCTCTGTAGCTTTTCAAAACACAGGCTTGTTTAATCTAATCATCGGTGGGAGCACAGTCACGTGCAGATCAACACAACCAGAGAACTCACTCCAACCACAGCAAAACGCAGGCAGCCATGCTGTTGTGACTTAACCACTTCCTAAGCTTCCAGCTGAATATTTGACTTCAGGTTTTTCAGTTGCCTGCTTTTAGCTTAGGCAGCATTTTGGAATCTTTCATGGTGAAGAGATTCACTTAGCACATTTTATAACTAACGACCATGAAGCAAAGCTTCAGCAAATTTGCAAATCATGGATTTCATCTGTCTAAATGAAATCAAATGGTTGCCCCTGCTGTATTAGAAGCTGGCTCGACATCAATAAAATTATTATGTTGAAGAACCATGTGTGCAGCAGGTGAAATCTTTATTATTACAAGCCAATAATAAAAGTTTGACAAGTTGAAAATATAAACTCAAAATATAAGCTTACATTCACTTGAAACTTTCTATAGTTCACATTTGGATTGTAAAATGGCTGTAGCCACATTCTTTCCTCCACTAAGGAACAGGGATGGGGACTGTGCTCTTGAGAGTTTAAAGCCAATTTCATACATGTCCCAACAATTTAGTCGATGTTTACATGCACATAACATAGAAAGGAGGAAGGCAAAAATTGCTGTCTGTGGAGAGTCTAAGATCGTTAAAATCCATTTTCCAGAAGCCTGCATTGGCCTCAGTTGAGTCTGTACCTCCAAAGTCTAGCTCTTTCTTAGAAAGAATTAGCAGGAAAAGAGAAGCATCCTACTTAACATGCGGGACATGGAAAGAGTCACTTTCCAAATTGTTCACTTAATTCACTTCATTCTGCCTCTAACACCATGGACTGAAAAGGTGCCAGAAGGGACTTCAGGCTGGCCTCCATTGTCTTATATGTTATTTCTCAACACACAGTTTTTTCAGATGGAGGAGGTAAAATAAGAAGGAAAATTCTGATTCAAGTCCAATGACTTTGTAGTCTGAACCACTACGTATAAAGAGAGGATGAAGTGGGGCGCTCTATGAAAAATTTTAGGTCTCTTATTGGGAGTGTTATTCTTAACCGAATATATCCTTCACAGATTCTAGAAGAATTAAAGAAGGAAAAGTATGAAAAGAGCCTGGAAACTTTCTCCACTGCCGATGTTTTGGACATAGTAACATATTTCCAGCCTCTGTGCATGAAGCAAATAGCACATTTTGAGACGGGCTCAAGTTAATTCAAAACACTCCAGCAAAACCAAGGTTTCCCAAGGTCACTATCATCACCACATGTAGCCTGTATCTTTAACCTCCGACTCTGGAACATAGTATATGTCTAGTAAAAGGGAAAGGAGGAAATTACAGGAGATGGATGGAGTAGAATTAGAATCCAGAGCATGGATAGCTTGTCGCAAGACTTGACGCAACAACCTAAAAATAAAACTCTGGAACCAGACCCTGGAGTGCTATTACCCAAGAACACATTGGGTGCAGAAGCAAGACTGTAATCACATACAGATGATTAGGAAATATTTTGTAAAGTTATCTTCTCTAAATTTTGTAAGGCTCATACTTTACAACACGTGTTCACAATTTTTAGGCAAAAAGTGAAACTGAAGAATAATCAAGCAATTAAGAAAATGAATGAAAGCCAGATCCCTTGATGGGCCATATGTAATGCCAAAAAAGGAAATTAAGTAGGCAGAGTTTGATTGGAGAATGAATTACAGAGAATTCTAAAGAAGTAAATAGAGGTGATTCGACCAAGAAATTAAAGGGGACTCAAGGGTGCAGTCACATGTCAAAGATTCAGGTTCAATTCTTCACATAGAAGCCCACATTTCTCCTACATTGTTGTCTTATAAAACTGTGTCTGATATCCCTGTACTATTAAGAAAAGTTTGTAGTGTACATATTTAGTGTTAATAAAACATTCGTTCTCATCAATATCTGGCTTCCTGCCTCTCAGATTGCTGCAGTTGCCTGTGTGGCGCAAGACCTCTGGTGTAGGAATTCAGGGAAAGGTGCAGAACAAGGTAATGCTGGAAGGTTCTTCACTCCAGCCCAGTTGGCTTGAGAGTCAATGCAGCCCCAGAGAAGATGCATTCATGCCCCAAATTCCCTTACAGGGAATACTCCCAGATGCTGTCCATGTGTGAATGGGGGTCACTATTGCACTGAAGGAAGAAACAGCCCTTCCTTCAGGGAATTTGTAAGCTCTTCTTTGGAAGATCAGAATTTGACTCATAAGCTGATGGAAGGGTGATGCCACAATTCAACTCTATTCCTTGCTCCTCACCATCCCTCTACCCGGTCTGAGAAGCTCCAACCTCTGCCTTCCCAGAGACTGAGAGTCTTTCCTATGGGACTTCTCTCATCTGAAGAGTAGTGATTAATGACTGGTGCACTTTAAAAATCTTCTCTGTTCAATTATAATCCTCTGGAGTATTTGGCCTAATCTCTTTTAGGTTCTGATGCAGAATTGAATGGTTGGCAATTCAATTCTCACAGTTCTCACATATTTCTTCTGCTTACTCACTCACGAACACACGTAGACATATAGTGAACACTGGGTAAGGATCTGTATGAGGCCGTAGCTTTAATCGGTTCCTTTAATAGGCGTGAGTGAGAGACAGGTGAAGACATAATTTCAGCCCTGAAGTTCAAATGGCATATGGATGTTAAAAATGCTTTCAGCTCTTGCAGCCGCCCAGCACCTCACAGAGCCACAACCCCTTATCAGTCACCTCATAAGGGAGAAAGGATTCTCAGAGAGTCTGCATCACTGGCCTGGCATCAGACACAGAACAAGGCTGAGATTACATCACGGATCTTTGGCTCCTTATGCCAAAGATGCTCAGTTTGTGGGGTATTACATAGAATTATTACCAGTGGTGCTTCTGAATGGTTATTTATGTAACAAGTACTTCTTTTTGCTTAGATGATAAGAAGAGTATCAGGAAAATTCAAGTCATGATTATACATAAGAATTGAAATTTAACTACTGATCTCCATTTTACTCTGCAATACACCAACATGCAATTACACCCTTGATCTGAAGTTATTTTAACTCCCCAGAGAATACATAGCAGTTAAGAATTGACACCTTGTGGAATATTCTCTGTTTACTAGCAATGTGACCAAAGTTTTAATGTCTATTTAAAAATTATGGCTTTAGCTTTAAAAAACTAATCTCCTTAATAAAATGTAGCAAAATTACAATAATTATCCAACCATACTTTGCCCTTGCCAAAGATAATGCTAAAAGGTGACACATACATTAAAAAATGTAAATGAACTATTTAACTAAAGAGCAAAACGATGTCTATGTGTCTGTCAATTAACAGATGGTATCCGTAATCCACCCAGTTTGGTCCTGGGAATAGCTCCACAAAATAGGCACTGTTATTCGTATGTTTCAGATATAAAAACCGAAGCTTAGAGAGTTTAAATAATAAGACACAGGTAGAGGGCACTTTAGCAAGATTGGAGCACAGACGTGTCTAAGTCTTACACAGAGTCCTGAGTACTAAACTAGACTCTCGTATACCTAGGAGCCCGGGTCAGTGAGGAGGAACCACCTATTCCTAATCGCTGGGCTATTTTCAACAACGAACTCAGTGCTAAACTTCTGGTTTTAGGATTTAGATGTGTTTCTTATGACAAACAAATCAGTTGAGTGAGATTGTAAAACAAACCAAGTTGACTGCTGAACTTGGATTCATTTGCTCTGCTGTGTAAAACGAAACAGGTATTAATTACCGTTGACAGGACCAGACTATTATCATCACAATGGAAGAACACAGGAAAATGTGTGTGCAAACTGCCAAGAGAGTCTTGAGTAACTTCAGAGAGGAACGTCTCTGCATGCCACAGTCCGCTGTGACAAATTTCTCCTAAGAGTCTCTTAAGGATGCTTAAAAGACAGTAGCAGTAGCAAATTTCTCTTCCGCTTTTAAATGACACTGTCAGACGGGAAACATTTACTGTGTGCCTGACTTTGCCTTCCCCTCTGTCCTATTAGTTAACCCTAAAAGTGCAAATATAAACACATGGAGTCCCCAAGGGTACATCCAAACCAGGAGAAATCTGGAATTAATTGCCGAGGATTTCAGTTCCTGTTGCAGCTGTTACAAGTGTTTGATTTGGCGAGGGAAGAGAAAAGGCACCGCATACCAATTTCGTGAGCCACAGTGAAAGCTGCATGGAGGCCATCGTCTTCAATCACAGCGCAGCTGCGCTCCGGGGAGCATATGGTCCCAACGTCTGCCATTCCCAGGGTGTCACAGGAATGATGCCCACACAAGTCCTTCCCGGGAGAAAGAAAGAAATCATTAAAATCAAGTTACATCCAGAAGGAGCCACCTTGGAGAGCCACTTGCTCACTGCAAAAGGCACCACTGGGGTTTGTTTATGGCATCACCTGTTCAGCTCAGGAAATGGTCCAGACAAACTGATGGCATTGACTTTTCTAAGCTTCTCTGAGCATCAGAAGCACAGAAGGATGAGGGGACTGTATTTAAAAATGATGTTGGAGCATTGTAGCTTGCCCGTTACAATAACAGCCGAGCCTTAATAAAGATGTACCCCATGTATGCAGACACAGGTCACAGATCACTTTTACACACAGTCACGCTCAGGAGAGCCTAACATTCTGATCTAAATTCATGCTAACGATACCAGGCTCCTGGCCTAAAAATTCATTTTCCATCACAGGTGCAAGTGCAACCACGTCTTTGTGGCAAAATATATATATTTAGCAGAAATTTAGGTAGGAAACTAAACTTTAATCCAAGGCATAATACCCTGAAAAATCTTCTCTTGATTTCAAAACTGAGTTGTCATTTCACAGGTTGTGTCTTCAGAAAAGTGTGCACTCTTATTCATAGTATTTAATGTCCTATTTCTCAAGCTGATCAATCCTCAGGAAAATACACATTATATGTAGTGTTTATGTAAGTAAGCATATGCGTTTTTCTGGAGAGAAGCTGTACTTTAACAGATTCTCAAATGGGAGCATGATGACACCCACACTAATGGTTAACAAGTTGTAGCTTTGGATGAAAGAGACAGCAACAAGACAAAAAAAGTTTAGAAGCAGAAAGAGAAAATGTAAGCCAGAATTTTTGACACGATAGATATATCATGATAAACTCCCCCTGAAATGCATTTGAATAAAATGGGCATCAGAGGGGAGATGGGAGGGGACTATGGTGGGGGAAGGAGAACGGTTTTCAGAAACATCGATAAAGGACACATGGACAAAACAAAGGCGGGTGGGGTTAGGGGTGGGAGGTGGGGATGGCTGGGGTTGGGGGGAAGTGGTGTGGAGGAAACAAATGCATTAAAAATGTTCATTAGAATTTCTTGTGCTTGACTACTGTGTTCAATAAAAATCAACTGACAGTGTGTACATTTATATCCAAAAAAGCGAGATAGTATCCTGCTATGTCATAGGTAAATAACTGTAGAATGAAAGGATTTCTTAAAAAGTATTAATTACTAAGAAAGATGACAATTTACTGGTTTAAATAATGTGCTGTTTTTATCACAGCTATCATCTTTGTATCCCCACTACCACAATGCCTGGCTTAGGATATGAACTCAACAAACATTTGTTTAATTGCAGTGAAATGACGTACAGTCATTTCACTGTAGATGCAATGTACACCTCACACACCTTAACATGCTGCATGCTAGTAAGATCTCAATGGCTTTCAAGAAGCCAGCACAAGATGTTCATACTACATAACTAATGCCACCTGCCCATTGTCAACATGCTCTTCTAACTCTTCTCTATTTTGCTACATAAAAATCCAACCAAGCCCTTGTTGGTGTAGCTCAGTGGACTGAGCGCCTGCCTGTAAACCAAAGGGTTGCTGGTTCGATTCCCAGCCAGGGCACATGCCTAGATTATGAGCCAGGTCCCCAGTAGGGGGTGCACGACAGGTAACCACACATTGATGTTTCTCTCTCTTTCTCCTTCCCTACCCCTCTCTAAAAATAAATAAATATAAACCTTAAAAACCAAAGTGAAAAATAGTTAAAAGCTATCCTATGATCTCTCTAGTACATTTTCAGGTCCTGGTTGTGGTCTGTCTCCTGTGAGATCCCAGCTGCGAGGGGTCACTCTGTGGCTGCCAACCTACTGTAGTTTCAGACAGGAGAAATCTCCGCCAAGCAGCCTTGGCGGATCAAGTCACCAAACCAACAAGAGCCTACCCGTGTTTCCTGTGTATCCTTACATGTCATCCCATGGGACCTCAAATTATAGCTGTTGAGAACAAATTAGTAGTTTTTAAAATTGAAATTGGAACACACTTTTGCATAATAATCAGTCTTTGCGATAATAACACAGGACAATACATTTTTTAATCCATTCCTCCCCCATCAGTTTAGTGACTTTAAGACCAAAGCCCCAGCTCATGGTTTAAGTGAATTGCTACACACTCTAAGTCATTTATGCACACACATGGGTTTTTAAACCAAGATTTACGTCTACCTTCGTAATTCGGGGTTCACTGTCTTCAAATAGAATAATAAAATCCCAGGAACTGTTTCCCCGTCTCAGTCCTAGTTCAGTAATAAGCTTGAGGAGCCACAGCAAACGGACATGGCCCTCCTGCTCTGAGCAAGGTCTACACTAGGCTTCTTAACATCCCCTCATCAGCTGCTCATTAGAGCCCATCAGTCCTCCTTGTCATCCTTGAATGGCATTGGATGCATTTGGCCTTTTGCCATCAAAATGTGTGCATGAGACAAAACAATGAACAGAAGCAGCTATTTAAAAAAAACACACACTGCTTGAAACCCTTGATGACACAGCCACCCTCTCTACACTTCTGTACCTATAGTTATGTAAACCGGCAAACTTCCCATTTCATTCACACAGTCCCAAACACTGGAAGCCCAGTTATGGGCAAGATTACAATAAATGCCTGTATTTCTTTGTGATCCAATGTTTATTCCAATGTACTAAAATTCAACTTGTGCATCAAATTATTAGGAATATGGCACATTTCATTCATGCCTATTTTTTGGCGGTGACATAACAATATTTACAGGTAAGAACCTTATTTGAAATTTATTATTCACAGTAGGAGTAATAATACTATTGGGGCAAAACATCTATCTATCTATCTATCTATCTATCTATCTATCTATCTAATCTGTATCTGGGGGCAGAGGATACTGAAGAAATGTGAGTCACATACAGTAATTATGTAAGAGGTAAATGAATTAAAAGTGCTGACGAAGTTTTTCACATGGTTACTGTATATCTGAAAGTAAGCTATATCTTTGTTGTATAAAAGATGGTTCTTTTCATGCAGAATCAATATCTTATCAATATATTATCATCATGGTGTAAACAGTAATGCAATGGGAGGTTTAGTGAAAAGTGAGTTTTGTAAGAGTATACAGAGATTTAACCAGTGGGCTGGGGGTGTTGTGTTGGCAAGGAGACAGGACTGGGGATATTGTATCTAATTCAAAAATACAACCAAGATGATCAGCAAGACCAATGAAGGCTTGACAGGATGGTCATAGGCACGGTAACCATTCAGCAGGAATGACCATTATGAATATGGCAGGATCTGTGACTTATCATAGAATTTAGAAGAACTAATGCTACCCCAGACCTATTCCTGCAGTGAGAGCTGAGAGCCGGCAAAGTATACGACCCTGAGAAGCAGGTGCCGAGAAGATAGTACAGCTTGGAGTGGTCAGTACTGGGTGGGGAAAATGAACCGAGATGTGAATGTGCAAAGTGGAATAATCAAAGGAATTGCAGGATTTCTAGCCCTGCCCAGGAGACTGGTCTCTCCTGCAGCATAAATGTGCCAAGGAAAGGAGCTAAAAGAAAACACATGCCAATCAGAGCCCACACCATCACAACTGCAGTAACAGCAGCGAGGATGAAGGAAGCTACCTTGCATGGGAGACTCTGGAGTTAAATAACAGCAGCTTCTGTTTCTATAGATATTACCATCTGGTAAGGGCAAGTGTGGAGCTCAAGGGAAGGGTATAGGAGAGGGTTTAACTAGCCTCCGATGTCTATTCATCTGTCTACCCAATTCCTGTGAAGAGGGGTTAGAGATAGAAGAATTAGTCTGGTGTGGAACATATATTAGTCATTGTATTATACACTTACACACCGCAATCCCCAATGCTTGTGGATCCAATTCTGGAAGTGTCCTTTGGCTTCCTAGCTACCCCAATAATAAAGGCGTTGATTTGGATCTCAGCCAAGACTACATGCATTGAGTCTGTTAGTCTTACCATTAAAATAACCCATGTTATACAATCTCTATCCATGCTTGTAGATACAACCAAGTCATACCACACACACAGAGCATGGTTGGATTAGGGGCCAAGAGATCCAAGTGCATTTATTCCTCAAACACTTACGGTGTGCCCACAATCTGCCAGACACTGTACTAAGTGCTGACACTGTGGTACCCCAAATAAAAGTTGATCCTGACTTTTAAGAAACATGAGGATCTCGTGAGCGACACAGATATGCTATGAGGGGAGCAGATTGCGCCGTGCTGATATGAACAGATTGTGGAGGGAGTGCGGTGGAGGAATTGACCGTCTCTTTGGGGGAATCAATAACGGTGTCTGGAAGGAGGTAACTGGATCTCCAGGGATGAGCAGAAACCTGACAGTCTCAGAGGGAGGGCACGCCAAGCAGGGAAAAGCGGTGAATCCATCAGGGGCTGGTAAGTGGCAGGGTCTGTTTCAGAAATGACAAGAAGTTTGCTGAGGCTGGAGTCCACAGGATTTGTCGGGTGCAGGGCAACTGGGAGGAGCTGGAGAGATAGGCTGGGCCCAGAGTTATAAAACAGGAAATTTTCTCTGATAAATGTGCAGTTAGAAGATGGGGAAGAAGGGATGGAGAAAGCTGGAGTTTGAGGGGAGTAGATGCTTGAAGAGTCATTTTGGAGAACGGAAAGGAAAGCTGACCAGAGATAACAAATAGAAGGTCAATTCCTTTTTAATTCAAACTCGATTAGTAAGAATCCTTACATAAATCATTTATACAGTTTGAGACAAAGTTCCTTACTCATTAACATGAGAAATTTGGACCAGGTGATCTCTATAGCTTTCCAGGTATACAGGTGTTGGTATTAAATCAAAACACTCCAATTTACAGATGGAGAAATTAAAGTTCAGGGGCAAGAAGCATTCCAAGTGGGAAGCTTGAGACCAGCGTAGCTGAAATTCAAACCTATGACTAGAAACCATTTCCTGAACTGACTTTGTTATGGTGCTATGAGATGATCACATAGTTTATTCTCCATATTA